TCTGTCACAGAACATGGTGCAGTGGCATACCAGTGCCTTAGCCACTTGAGCCACAGGCGCCGAGCCGCATCACAGTGTTAATGGAGGCTGTGCTCTCTGGGTGAGTAAGGACCTCACACACAATTGCTATTTTCTTCTGTTTTTGCTCTATCCGTATTTCTCAAGGTTTTACAGAGAGCAAATATTGTTTTGTCAGAAGAAAAAGAATTTTGTGCTTTAAGATAAAAACATACCACATTTGTTTATATTTAGATTTGAGGAATGATACATGGGCTATGACATTACGGCCCTGGGGCGGGCAGGGGAACTTGCTGCACAAAGGTCCCCACACAGAGGGAAGCAGGGAGCTTGATCAGCCACTGGGCCATTACATGGGCTATGACATTACGGCCCTCGGGTGGGCAGGGGAACTTGCTGCACAAAGGTCCCCACACAGAGGGAAGCGGCTGAGATTGATCAGCCACTGGTCCATTCATTTGAACATCTGTTAGACTCCTGCCATGAGCCAGTCACTGTGCAAGGTGCTGGGGCCATGTTCTCTGTCCTCACAGAGGTCGCCACCTAGTGGATTCTCTGATCCCAGGAGGTCAACCCTAAGTGAGCCTCAGGAGTCTCTTTATGAGAAGCAGGTGTGTGGTAAGGAAACTGGGAGCGTCCCAAGCCCCAGGATCAAGTTCTATCCTTCCCCTAAGTCACTGATTGTCTGAGCCTCCCTCGGTTTCCCATTTGTAAACTGCAAGCATAGAAAGGGCTGGGTCAGGTTAGCTTATTGGCCCCTTCTATAAAGAAGGGACATGAATGCTGTATCTTTAGATCATTTGCTTTTTCACCTAGGAATTTTTTTTTTTTTGAAACAGAGCCTCAAGCTTTCACCCTTGAGGTGAAAGCTCACAGTAGAGTGCTGTTGCATCACAGCTCACAGCAACCGCCAACTCCTGGGCTCAAGCGATTCTCCTGCCTCCACCTCCCAAGTAGCTGGGACCACAGCCACCCGCCACAACGTCCAGCTATTTTTTTTTTTTTTTTTTTTTGGTTGCAGCCGTCATTGTTGTTTGGTGGGCCTGGGCTGGATTCGAACCTGCCAGTTCAGGTGTATGTGGCTGGCGCCTTAGCCGCTTGAGCCACAGACGCTGAGCCCACCTAGGAATTTTTAATAAACAATAATCTCAGTTTGCTTTGCTTAGGCAATGCTTTTTAAAAGTCCTCTAGTTCTCTTTTGCTGTTCTCTTAATCTTGAAGGGACCAAAAGTCCCAGTGGTTTCCTGTGGTTGTCAAGATAAGCTTTAGAGCAGTTTTGCTCAACTATTTTTTGTCTCACAGCACACTTAAATTATGTTGATTAAAAAAAAGAGTAAAAAAAAAGAATATACTTACCATGCTTTGAACCTCTTTCAAAAATAATTTAATTCATAATTTCTTTAAAATTTCTTTCAAAACTAATTAATGATCTTTAAAAGTTTTTGTGGCATACCTAAGATTCTGTCACAGAACATGGTGCAGTGGCATACCAGTTGAAAATCACTGCTCTAGGGTTGGAAAGATTTGGTCTGAACCTCAGATTTGCTACTTTATAGCTCTGTGACCTTGACCAATAAATAATCCCCCCACCTCAGTTTCCCTTTCTGCAAGATGGGTTGAAAAAATAAGAGCCTCACCTGGTGGCCTGACAAGGCAACTAATGGAGCTGATGTACTCAGCCCCAGACAGTTACCATATGTTCTTCATAAACAGAAGCCAATAGTATGATTGGTGCCTGGGGAAGCAAAGCTGCTCCAGTAACATCTGGGCCAAGACATAACCCTCTTTCTTGCTAAAGGTAGGGTCAGGTCTTCAGACTTAACAGTGCCCTTCATACCTGTGACCTTGTTTGACCTGTCCCATTTTGAAGAGCAGAGACTGTTTTCATTTCACAAATGAAGGCACAGAGTCTTAAGATGTGTTAAGTAATGGCCCAGCATAACACAGTGAGTGGCAGGACTGGAATACAGACTCTTATTATGTTCTACCCAGACCCACCCTGCTTCCTCCAGCTGCTCTATGAGACCCCAGTCCCTCTGGTTACTGGGTATATCACTCAAATTAGAGTAAATTCCGAGACTTCTGCTGGGACTCCCGGGAAGAAGGAACTCTCCACTGTAGCTGCTAGCTAGTAGGACCGACAAGTGACCACAGAAGACAGCAGAGCCAAGGCAGGAGAGGGCCAAGAGTCAGAACAGCATTTAAGTCTTCGGACTCAGCTACATCCTCTACCTTTCTCCTTTTGTGTCATGCCAGCTTGTATTAGGGATGAGAGGGATTCCATCCCCTGGGCTTCAGAGGGGCACTTGTGGCCCTACCAGCACCTGCACAGACTGGACCCCATTCCATTGGTACCACACTATACCTCCATGGCCTTCTTCAACTGCTTGGCATCATAGTGGGCCGGTGACATCATGAGCCCCAGAATCAGCCTCGCCAGATCTCCAGAGAGCTCAGACTTCAGGTCAGCCATTAAGTCCTGCCAAGGGCAGAGCCAAGGTCATGCCAACATCAGCACTTGCCCACACATGATCCGGGGAAGGGAAGAGATATGGAATGAGGAAATGAGCTCTGAACCGGGGATCAGGAAAGCTTGTGTCTGTCTTTGTTGATGTTGGATTTATCATTTAGATAAAGCCAAAGTGGGGGGTAGGCAACCAGGAGGAAGACTGGAAAGGGAAGGGGAGGGTAGCACTGAAGGATATTGTTTCCATCTGGGGGAAACTCATCAGCCTAAGCCAGACGCCACCAAAGTGCAATAGTCACTAACACTTAGCATCCAGCCTTGAACCAGCACTCATGAAGCACTGCACAAAAACAACTGTTAGCCCCACATTGAGCCTCTGATGCCACCAAGCCAGCCCACACAGGTACTGCCCAACACGAGGAACTGGAGGAATGGAGGGCTCTGTCTGCCCAAACCCACACTGGAGACACTCTGAGATCATGTTGACAACGTGGGGTTCCACTGCCATGGGTCCCTGGTGCCCAACTGTGCAGAGCTGGCTGAACTCCGTCAGGGGAGGTACATGGATGCGGGGCCCTGGGCCCAAGGGGAAGGAGCCCTTACCCGGCCAAAGTGAGATTTGAAGGTCTGCCGGATCTGCTGCCGCTGGGCATTGCTGCGGCGTGTGATGATATCAATGATGGTACCTTCATCAGTTCCTGAGTCACCAGAGACACACACCTCAGAAGAAGGCCTATGGCTCAGCTTTGCCCATACCCACCCCCCACTGATATCTCCAGCAACTTCTAGCAGGGGGGATGCCTGGCAAGGCAGCCCTGTGCTCCTGAACCCCTGCAGGAACCTTCCATCTGGCTCAAACCACTAACACCCTCTTGATTCCTCACTGCCTTTCTTTCTGTCATGCCACTGCTTAGGAAAAAGGACACCTGGTGGGTGGAGGGTCCTGGGTTGGCAGTCAGGATCTCTGAGTTTTAGTCCTGGCTCTAGCACTGGCTGTCTGCCTTGGGCAAGTCCCTTTGCCTTTCTGGGACTCAGTTTCCACATCTGTAACACGAAGAGGCTAGACTAAGATTTCCTTCCAACCCTGACAATCTAAGCCCTGTTTGCTGGACCCCAAGTCCCTCTAACCACAGCACGCTGACTCTGGAAGGTGTTAGGATACCCCTTCCTGCCTCTCAGATTACTGCCATCAACTTCACACCTGGCATGGACTCTATCTTTCAAGGCATTTTTTTGTCTACCATCCTACAGCCCCTTGGGAGTTGCTGCTGGCCGGATAGGGAGAGAAAAGGCAATGGAAACCAAACCCTAGATTCCCTGATCCTGACTGGACTTTCCGAGCACAGGGTCAGTTGGTGCAGGATCAAGTCCTGTTCACTCTGTAAACCCTAGTTTGTGCCCTGCTCCCTTGCCTAGCCCACTGCCAAACATACCACACCCCCAGCCACAGAGCCCACCCCTGCCCCTTTTATGCCCCTTACCAAGTCCCTTCATAGCTTTCCGCAGCGCTTTGGCATCTGCATCAGGGTTGAAGTCATTGGCTGGGCGCACTGTTCCCTTCAGCTGCAAGAAGTAGAAAGAAACTCAGCAGGTGCCTGAAGGCCCCCCGGGGGCCAGACCAAGAGAGAACATGCGAGGGGTGGGGAGCTATCCCCACAAGCCCAAACCAAGCAGCTTGGGGGGACAAGGCAGAGGTGAAGCCACAGCAGACAGACCCTGCACCAGAGCTGAGAGACAGAGAGATTCAGGCCTGGGAGCAGGGCAGGTGCTGGTCAGGCGGAGAGTGGCCAGGCTCCTGCCTGCTGGGATTCAGTCATCTTAGCTCCCTGGGGCTTCTTATTCCTCCCCAGTCTTTCAGATTCACACCTGCCTCCAAGGACCCCTCTGCCTCTGCCTCTTAAAGAGTCACTCCCAGTAAACAGGGCCCAGATATGTCTGAAATACCAGAACAGAGTTTCCCAAACTTCAGTCACTCCTCAGTGACTTTCACAATGTTGTTCCAAATTTGCATACACCCCCTGCTATTTCCTAATACGTTTACCTCATTTAACTCCTTTTCTGTTCACTTAAATATATCCAATTTAAAGTGTATTTAAATACTCCTAAAGGGCACAGAATTTTGTCTGTTTTGTCCTTTGATATATCCCAACTGCCTATATCAGTGCCTCACGCAAAACAGGCACTCAAAAAATATTTGTTAAATGAATTAATGAAACTAATTTTATGTTCCCATCATAAATTAGGAAGTCAGTATCATATGTCATAAAAGATGAACTGTGAAATTAAGTGTAATAAAAACAAAACAAATGTGAAATATAATTAAATTTAACATGATGTCATTGCTTGCCAAAAACTCTGAACTTAAAGCCAGGAATCTCAGTGTAAATCAGGGGCCGGGTCGGTGGCTCACGCCTGTAATCTTAGCACTCTAGGAGGCTGAGGCGGGTGGATTGCCTGAGCTCACAGGTTTGAGACCAGCTTGAGCAAGAGCAAGACTCCATTTCTAAAAATGGCTGGTGGTGTGGCAGGAGCCTATAGTCCCAGCTACTCGGGAGGCTAAGGCAAGAGAATCATTTGAGCCCAAGAGTTTTAGGATGCTGTGAGCTGTGATGCCACAGAACTCTACCAAGGGCGACCAAGTCAGACTCTGTCTCAAAAAAAAAAAAAAAGAAAAGAGAAAGGAAAATCAGAGAACGTTGCAGAGAGGCAGCCCCAAACCAAGACTTTCTCTTTGATGTAATCAGAAAGGTTGATGAAACTGAAAAGAACCTTTCTCATTCACTATGTGAGGTTCAGAGTTATTTAACACCACGGAAGCCCACCCTACTCTGCCAATCAGTTTGTTTCTCACATCACTCAAGATCAACTGCAGTGATAGTTCTTGCCTTCCATTGATATTTTGGGAAATGCTGTCCTAGGACATCAGAGCTCAAAGGCCCATAGAGGTCCCTGAGATTGCAAAGTCCACCCCACCTCCTTTTAAAGATGGAGACATAGAGGCCCAGAGAGAGGTGGGGATGTGCCAGAGGTAGCACAGCAAGGAACAGGGAGAAGCTAAGGTTAGAATGGTTTGCCCAGGTACTTCTGTCCAACCTTTCATCCCTGTCCTTTGTGGACCCCAGTTCTGAGGAAGCTCAGGAGGACAACTGTGAATCATCCTGTGCAGCCAGGGGAACCTATTCAGTCTCAGCTTTCATGCCTCTGAAGTCCCACTGTTGGACCCAGTGTGGGGCAGGCCCCTCCCTGGAACCAGCCAGGTCTCCATTTCAGCAGGCCCGGTTAGTAGTCAGCAGGCCAGAACACTCCCCCGGCACCAGTAGGTAAGGAAAGATCCAGGTGCCCCCAGAGCATCACTCTGAGGGGAAAGGAAGCTTGGATGTGAGAGTCTGTGTCTCCGGTTAGCCACCAGGGGACACCTGGGTGCCAACTGGAGCAGCAGAAGGTGCGAGCAGAGGAGTACAAGCTTGTGGTCAAGAGGTCAAGCAGGAGGGGAGGGTCTGACCTCTACTCGCGACACTGCACTAAGCTCCCACATCTGATAGGCCACCTGCGCTGCCTCCGGGAAGAACTGGCCAGCAGCACTGGAATGGAGGGGTTAGGGACAGGATAGGAGGGCATGTCACTGTGGGCAAGACGCCACACGTGCAACACACCCCAACACACACAAGTGCCCTGACACACACCCCCTCACCACACACCCCAACACACATACAAACCTCACCACACACATACTCCAATACGCTGCCAACACACTCATGCACATACACCCCAATACACATTCACATACATAATATACCCCACCATACCCCAAAGCACATTCACATACATAATATACCCCACCACACACACACTCACACACTCAGACGCACTCTCACCACTTACACCCCAACACAGACTCTCACACCCACCCAACACATACACACACACCAATGTAAACACTCCAACACACATTCACACACACACACACACGCAAATACCCTACCTCACACTCTCACATACACCCAGCACACACACACCCTGCCTGTCACCCACAAATGGGTGGGGCGCCTGTGGCTCAGTGGGTAGGGCACCAGCCCCATATACTGTGGGTGGTGGATTTGAACCTGGCCCTGGGCAAACTGCAACAAAAAATAGCTGGGTGTTATGGCGGGCACCTGTGGTCCCAGCTACTCAGGAAGCGGAGGCAAAAGAATCGCTTAAGCCCAGGAGTTGGAGGTTGTTATAAGCTGTGATGCCACAGTAGTCTACTGAGGGTGACAACGTGAGACTCTGTCTCAAAAAAAAAAGCAAGCATATAGCCTCATTCATTCATCAGAGTCCTCCCTCCATTTCTGAGAACCTTCCACCTCTCTTGAGACCCCTGCAATGCTGGCTCCTCCCAGAAGTCTTCCTTGTCCAGGGCTCAACTGCGACAGGACTTCCCCCATCTTTTGACCTCTCCTTTCTTCCTTAGACTCTGAGAGACTTTCCTGGTCTCCCCTTTCAAATAGCCAGTGAGAGCAGGCTGGGGCACACCCTTCCCACATCTCCTCCTGCAAAGTGCCAGGTGCTCAGGAAATGTCTGCTGAACTGCACAGGCCCCTGTGGCCCTTTACCAAGGTTGGGCCAGAGGTCCTCATCTGGCTTCCATAACTGGATCCTGAGAAGCCGCAGAGAAGGGAAATCAGAGCACCTCTAATTCCCTTTCTAGGACGCAAACCTAGTCAAGTCATGGCCCCATTTAACATTCTGGGAAGGGGCCCCAGGCTCTGCCCACCTATCTGCCTCATCTCTCTCTGCTATATTTCACAAAGGTGTGCCCTTGGTCATATAACCAAACAAGTTTGTTCCTTCTCACTTCTAGAACTTTCTATAGATGATTTCTTCTACCTAAAAGCCCAGACCCTCTCCTCACCTGGCTCCTCCTCCTCATCTTCCTCCTTGGGCTGCGATCTCACATCTCCAAAGTGCCTCCCCCAGCCTGGGCCAGTGCACCTAGAAGTGCTTTCATATACACTTCTTTTTTTAAATTAAACCGTAGTTGTGTACATTAATGTAATTATGGGGTGCAATGTGATGGTTTTATATACAATTTGAAATACTTTCATCAAACTGGTTAACATAGTCTTCATTACATCATATATACTTCTTATGTGGCCCGACACTTCCACCCTGTACAGGACTGCCTGGCAAGCTGACCTTACACTGCTTCAGATGGTTCCCCCTCTGAAGGCACTTAATGCGAATATGCTGCTTAAATGAGTAGGCAGCAGGATTCCAATTTTCCCCACAGATAATGCAACTGAGAAACCTCTATGAAGTAGTAGCGCCCGGAACCTCATATTCTGATTCCACAACCCCAGGTTCATAAGAGCAAACATAGCTCCCTGACAGAGACCACACTCACGTTCAGACACACACAGACGCACAGATCCTCAGGCACAGCAGATATTGGCAAAGGCCGTGTTTCACCTGTGTGCTGCTCCTGGCTCAGAGGATTCCTAACTCATCCAATTCATCCATCGGGATGATAGCCAGGAGAGTCCCCACCTGCCACCCAAGGCCACTCCCTCCAGCCCAGGGCGGGAAGCTACTTACTCATCATCTCCACCACACAGCTTCAGCAAAGCCTTCTTGTACTCGCCAGAGGTGTCGTTCTGGGGTGAAAGAAGAAAATTTACCTCTTATCCTGTCCTGGGCTCCTTCCAAGACAATGAGGGAAGGATCTGTATGACCCCAAACAGGGGAGACTGAGTGAGCACTTATTCACAGCAGCCATGACCCTCCTCCTGTCTGGAGGTGGCTGAACCCTCTAACAGTGGTATGGTAGTAAATACTTAACAATTGGCTCCCTGGGGGGCAGGGAGAACAAAGCCAGCAAGCCCTGATTTGTAGCATTTGCCAAATTCTGCAATATAATAAACAGTTCCAACGATGAATAATTTCAGTGAATGCACAGCTGAGAAGAGGTGCTTGCTGTTCTCCCGAGCCAGAGTAAGATGTCCCCAGCACACCACTGCTGCGGGGCAGTCGCCAACCCTCCTAAGTGAAATATTCCATGAACAAATGCCCTGGGAAATGCCAAAACCCAAACAAATCCATATTGGATAGATGCACACACTGATACAGACGGCATATTCTATAGCCCTTCTCAAGCTTCATAATGGACTTTAAAATATTAAAGGCTATGAAAAGTTCCAAGGTAAAGAAACTAGTTTATCTTTGCTTATTCCAGTTGTTGCCAAGTTTACTTTCTCCTGGAATATTTTGCACATAATGCCTCCAAATATCCCTCTTTGGAAACATACTTTAGGGAATGTACTTGTATCTCTTTCCTGTCTCCCCCACACAGCACTATTCCATGCATCCCCCCAAAAGAAAAAAAAAAACAACTCTACATGTATTTTCTTGACAAAGCCTCATGGGCTGGATGCCCCAGAGTCACACCAGTCACCCGATGCAGGACCCTGTAGTCCCTCATTTGTATGATTCCATGGTCCCTCTTCTTCCACCCTTGGGACAGAGCCCTCATTCTTAGTTCCCCTTGTGCACCCTTCATGATCCAGCCCTGCCTTCCTCTTTAATCCTACCTCTCACAAGCACCGCCCTTTTATTGAATTTCCTTAAATTCCTCAAATGTGCTAAAGATGCGGGCTTCTGCAATTTCTAAGAGATTCTCAGCTTTCCTCCTGCAGTGTTCCCCAAGCCCCATGTCTGGGTAGAAAGCTCTCTGTCCCTCTTTTGTCCCCACAAGCTCTCTGACCTTGATCATGCTGTAGAGAGACTTCTCATACTTGGTCCGGAAGATCTCACGGATGTCAAGCATGTCCAGCTCGCTCCGGGAGACCATGATGCGGATCAGGGTGTTGTCCCGAGTCCCCAGGCCCTGGAAGACAAACAACTTTGAGAAACAGGGGCTTGAGAGGAGGTTGGAGTGCTGACAGCCCCGGCTCAGTTGGAAACACTATTTTCATAATAAAAAGTTAAAATTAAGAACAGAGAAAGCAGACCCTGCCAGTCCCTCTGAAGCTCTTCATGTACCCCTCTTGCTTTTACAAACACCCACTTCTCTCTTCACGATCATTTCCCTCCTTGATTCCCTTATAATTTCACCTTCTAACTCTAAGCCCGCAGTTCTCAACCTGTGTGTCGCGACCCACAGGAACTGTATTAAAGACTCCCAACGTTAGGAAGGTTGAGAACCACTGCTCTAAGCAAAACATTTAGATTTGTATGCTTTGATGGACATTGACTTGCTTCTAGTTTTTTTCCTAATATAGGCAATACTGTCCTAAGCATTCTTATTGTGTGCCTACAGGCAAACTTCTCTCTAGGGCTGAGCTGCCCACCTCACCATGGCACACCGGTGGACAGAGAATGGCCATCAGTCCATTTTGCCCTTTTGGGTTGGCCAGCAGGGCCATAAAGCCCTGAGCTCCTGGGTCTTGGGCCTTTGGCCACAAACGATTGCATTCATTTATTTCCATGTGCTATGGAAATATCCTCAGTTTCTCTGTGTGTCATATGTGTAAAAACCTAGGGAGCACTAACCTTATAACATGCCCAGAGTGGAGTTGCTGGGTCATAAGGTGAGCATTATGAGTCTTAAGCAGGCAATGCGTTTTCCAAAGTGGTCTTACCTATGTGCACTGTATATGAACATGCTGGTTAATTACTATGTTTTAAAAGCTGGGTTGCCATCCCATCTGGCTGGCTAGATCGGGTGCAGGCTGCCACTGCACCCTCTAATTGAACAGGAGGTAAGGACAGGTATATAGGGGGAAGGGCACATAACCAGGAAGCAGCCGGGCTCTGGAGATCACCTGGAACAGGGCACCATCCCCAGGGTCAGTCCTGTGGCCAGTGGACTTTGAGGGCCTGCCAAAGATTCCCCACAGTCCTATGTGGGGGGGCAGAGACCCAAGTGTATTCACATGCTCCCCCCCCCACCAAGTGCATTCACATGAACCTCACCACACACCTTCATGGCCTTGAAGAGCCTTTCAGCAAAATACTCTGAGGTGCTCCGGATGCATTTCACTGTGAAGAGGGAGGAAGAGGTAGATTTATTCTGGCTGCCTCAGAAGGGGGATGGATGGCTGGGCCCCTTCTTTGCTTCTACTCCTTGGGGACCACGTAGCTCAAACACAGGAAGAACCCTGGCTCCTGATGGCCTACAGCCCCAGAGCTCCCCAGGCGAGCTACCCACTTTTACCCTAATTCAAGGGACAAAGAAACCAGGAGATAAGCCTGTTAAAATCTGAGTAGTCTATCTCAAAGACCCTTATCTTTCGTGTCCTTTCTGGTTTCATAGGGAACTAGTCCACATTGAGGGTAAAGTTTGGGCTGGCAGCAGAAATGCTGTTTCTTTAGATCTATTACACCAGAAGAGAACTGGCATCTGAATCACTTTGGGTGCCACTGAAATAGGGTTGGCAGGAGAGGCTCTCAGCAGGAAGATGAGGTGCTACAGCTCTTCCCCAAGAAACACACACACAAAACACACAAACCCTGGCTCACACAAACCAAATCTTAGAATGTCAGACTTGCAAGGGGCTCTGAGTCTGGCAGTCTATCCTTCCTGCTCCCTGGTAAACACATGAGGAAACTGGGGCCCCAAGAATAAGTGACTTGCTCTAAGTCAAGAGCAAATTTTGGAGAAACCCTGGGTTTGAACCTTGACTCCATCATTGATTAATTAGCTCCTGGCATCCTCATGTTGAGAGTACCCCCATCTCATTATAAAACTACCCCTCAAGGCCAGGCATGGTGGCTCATGCCTATAATCCTAGCACTCCAGGAGGCCAAGACAGGAGGATAGTTTGAGACTAGCTTGAGTAAGAGGGAGACCCCAAATCTACAGGAAAATAGAAAAAGTAATTGGATGTGGTGGTACACATCTGTAGTCCCAGCTACTCAGGAGGCTGAGGCAGGAGGATTGCTTGGACCCAGGAGTTTGAGGTTGCAGTGAGCTATGATGATGCTACTGCACTTTACCCAGAGCAGTAGAGTGAGACCTTGTCTTAAAAACAAACAAACAAACAAAAAAAAACACAAAACTACCCCTTAGTAAGTGATCAGCCTCAGTAATGGGCTTGTCAAATGGAGATAATGGCAGTGGCTACTCTTGAGTCAGAGTCTCAATCTGTCACCTTGGGGTTGAGTGCTGTGGTGTCATCATAGTTCACAGCAACCTCAAAATCATGGCTTCAAGTGATCCTCCTATCTCAACGTCCTAAGTAGCTGTGACTACAGGTGCGTGCCACAATGCTCAGTTAGTTTCTCTATTTTTTTTTTTTTTGAGACAGAGTCTCACTATGTTGCACAGTAGAGTGCTGTGATGTCACAGTTCACAGCAACCTCAAACTCTTGGGCTCAAGAGATTCTCTTGCCTCAGACTCCCAAGTACCTGGGACTATAGGCACCCGCCACAATGCATGGTTATTTTTTGGTTGCAGCTGTCACTGTTGTTTGGCAGGCCCGGGCTAGATTTGAACCTGCCAGTTCACGTATATGTGGCTGGCGCCTTAGATGCTTGAGCCACAGGTGCCGAGCTATAGTTTTTTAATTTTTATTAGAGTTGGAGTTTCAGTTTTGCTCAGGCTGGTCTCAAATTCCTGAGCTTAAGTAATCTGCTTGCCTTGGCTTCCCAGAGTATACTAGGATTATAGGCGTGAGCCATGGTGCTGGGCCTCACTCCTGGGTTTTCTTTTTTTTTTTTTGAGACAGAGTCTCAAGCTGTCATCCTGGGTAGAGTGCCGTGGCATCACAGGTCACAGCAACCTCCAATTCTTGGGCTTAAGCGATTCTCTTGCCTCAGCCTCCCAAGTAGCTGGGTCTACAGGCACCCGCCATAATGCTGGACTATTTTTTGGTTGTATAGTTGTCATTGTTGTTTGGCAGGCCCAGGCTGGATTTGAACCTGCCAGCTCCAGTGTATGTGGTTGGCTCCCTATCTGCTTGAGCTACAGGTGTTGAGCCCTGGGTTTTCATTAAACATTAAGTATAGTGCTTGGCACTTAGTAGATACTCCCCAAAAGTCCACTATATTATCATGGTGCTTTCTACCCCAAGTTCAGTGCTCTTCCTGTCCCTCCCACAGTGGAGAAGGGAGAGGGAGGAATTAGTACCTGAGACTCAACTCCCTCGCCTTCCCTGGCCTCAGCCATGCTGCCTGGGCTAGACTCTTAGAAGCCAAGGCCCATGAGGTTTTCTCTTTCCCAGCTGCATGCCATACAAATTCCCCTTTTCCCTTCTTAGCCCCTTATTTCTGGGCCAGTGTCCCTTGATGCCCCTGGGAATGCAATGTCAGGACATACCCACAGCCAGCATTAGCTTCTCAAAGTCCCCGGACAGCTCGCCTCGGATACTGGCTTCGATCGGCTTTCCCGTCTTCTTCAGGTACTCATCAAACACTGAGACAGAGAGACAGGAATGTCTGAGAGTGTCCCTGTAGCACTAAGAAGAAACAGAGCCTTCAAAAGCAGAGGGTGCAGTGGCCAGGTCTAACATGAAACTAACGCTGGTGCCTTGGTGGAGGTGGCCGGGTGGTCAGCACATACCGTGCAAACTTCATACGTTGGTGAGTGAGAGAGTCCCTCACTCTCTAACATGAAGACAGTACTGACTTACATGGAACAGCTGAGCATCCTGTTAATGACTTTGGTAAGGGACTACACAAAACACTGTCTAATAAAATCAGGATTAGTCTTTGAGTTGGGGATGAAGTAGCTATTATGTTCCATTAGTAGTAAAAAAAGAAAAGGAAAAAAGAAAGGAATTCTTTTTTTTTTTTTTGAGACAGAGCCTCAAGCTGTCACCCTGGGCAGAGTGCCGTGGCATTACAGCTCACAGCAACCTCCAACTCCTGGGCTCA